AGGCGGGGTAGCGTGCACCTGTGGTTCCAGCTAATTAGAAGATTGAGGTGGAAGGATCGCCTGAGGCCGGCAGGTCGAGGCTACGGCGGTCATGAGCACGCAACTGCACTCCAGCCTAGGCGACAAAAAAATAATAGTAACCTGTGTCTGAAAAGTTTAAATAATGAAGAGGTTTACCAACATTATCTGCAAGACTTGACCTTATGGGAGGCAGAACCGGGCATAAGGCACCCCCATGCTGAAAAGACCCCAGACGTCACCCACGACAGCCAGAGGGTGTTGGCACTGACGCTAGCCTCTTGTGTCATCACTGACCCTGAGACAAAGGACTTGAAGGGCAAGACCTCTAAAGACAATATTTTATCTACTGATGCTGTTTCCTTGATGGATAAGAATTGAGGAAAACTTAGGGGAGGGAAAACTTTCTGTCGGCAAGTACTCAGTAGGCTGTTCAGACTGGCCCAAGCCACTGGCTCACAACCCCCTTCCAAGCGCCCTGTTTAAGCACATGGCTCTGGGAGTCATAAGACAGCCTCTGTACTGAGTTCTCTTCACATATAAAACTGAGACCATCAGCATCTCCGGGATTGCTAAGAAAATGGTGGCAAATCCATCTTCCTATTAGCATATGAGGATCATGCTTCCTCTTCACCTGGAACGCAGTGAGGTTTAAGGCTCAGCCTTCACCAAGAACATGTAGTGACCATGAAGGTCCCGGAGGATACCGCCCACAGGCAGTGTCGGAGGTAGAAGACACTTCTGGAACACATTTCCCAAGGACAGAAAACCCTGCATCGGGTGTGAAGGGTGCCAGTGAGACACGGTTCCAGGTGCTGAGGGGGAGGGCTGCAGAAGGACCCTCGACTCTAAGGAACTCATGATCAGACGATGGTACATAAAAATTCCACACTAGCTCCAAGACAGGCAGTTTGGACACATGCCTCATGAACAGCACAAAGTCCTGCGGGAGCCGGAGGACAGGAGGACTTCCCACTGAACACGTAGGCTGATCGCCAGCTCCCAGCAGGCAGCTGGGCCCATGGGGTATGAGGACTTCAGTCCCTCGTCGGGGCTGACTGTCCACTCACCTGCCGTCACCATGTCACTAGCTGTTGGACAAGTAGAAAAGAGGATGTCTGGGTCGAAGTGGGGGTCACAACAGGGCGTTTAACGCGTGTTCACATTGAATAGCGTCACCCACCACACCACCCAGTCTCGCTCCTGCCATGGCCCGCAGTTCCCTGCCCTGGCCTTCATGGACACTGCCCGCTGTGGCGTGTGAGTGCCTAACATGGTGTCCTTCCTGGAGGTGGCTCCTGACACCAGCTGAAAGCAAAAGAAACAGCAGCTATTACCCGTGCATCTACTAATGCAAGAAAACTCAGCAAAGTCACAGGATTTCAGACAACGGTTGCGAGCCATTTCAGAACACAAAATGCTGAGTCCTTGGGGCTGCATCTCTCCTGTTCTCCACCAGGACAGTCACTGGATGTGTGGGAACCTGCTCGTCTTTGTCAAGCAAGTACATGGACGTTCCCATGCTTATTTAAAAATTTTTCACAGTAAGTGACAAGCAACAAACTGTCAGATTGCATGGCAACGTCCATGCTGTGGCACGTGCATAGAACAATTCTGGGCTCTAGGAAAAGGTTTTAAAATAACTGATCTTAATTGGGCCTTTAAATGGATCTAAAAAGACATTTCTCAAAAACACATACATGCCCAGCAGGTGAGTAGAAAATGGTCAGCATCACTGATCATCAAATCCACTAAAGCAAATCAAAACCACCATGAGGCATCCTCTCACCCCACCTAAAATTACTCTCATCAAAGAGACAGAGAGTGACAGATGCTGGTGAGGATGTGGGGAGGGGATCCTCGCACACTATATTGGTGAGAAAGTAGATCAGCACAGTCACCATTGAGAATGGTATAAAGACACCTCAAAAACTGAAACTAGAACAACCATGTGATCCAGAGATCCCACTGCTAAGTCTATATCCAGAGGAAAGGAAGCCAGCATATCGAAGAAACGTCTGCATCCCGTGTGTGCTATCCACAGTAGCCAAGACATGGAATCAGCCAAAGTGGCCACCAGCAGACGAACGGATAAAGAAAATGTGGTCTATACATGGAATACTATCCAGCAAAAAAAAAAAAAGATTACAGTTCTGTCATTTGCAGCAACATGGATGTAACTGGAGGTCCTTATGTCAAGTGAAATAAGCCAGAGCCAGGCTTGGTGGCTCAGCCTGTAATCCCGCACCTTGGGAGGCTGAGGTGAGTGGATTGCCTGAGCCTGCGGGTTCGAGACCCGCCTGGGCAACTTGGCAAGACCTCATCTCTACAATAAATTTTTAAAAATTAGCCGGGCATGGTAGTTCACGCCTGTAATTCCAGCTACTTGGAAGGCTGAGGTGGAAGGATTGCTGAAGCCCCAGTAGGTCGAGGCTGCGGTGGCCGGGAGCAGCCACTGCACTCCAGTCTGGGCGACAGAGTGAGGCTCCGACTCAAAAAAAAAGAAAAAAGAAATAAGCCAGGCACAGAAAGACAAATATTGGATATTCTCACTCGCATGTGGGAGTTTAAAAAGTGAATCTCACAGAGGGAGACAGTAGACTGGCCGTGACCAGAGGACGGGAAGATAGGGAAGAGGAGATAGAGAGAGGCCAATGAACAGGTATGAATACGTGGACTGGTAGAAGAAAGCGCACCTGTGTTTGATAGATCAGCAAGTGAGTAGAGCTTGCAATAGTCTATTGCATATTTCAAAATAGCCAAGAGAGTGATTTGAACGTTTTGGCATAAAGAAAGGGCAACTATTTCAGGCGACGGATATCCCAATGATGCTAATTTGATCTTTACCAATGATATGATTGTATTAAATCATCACATATACCCCCCAAATATGCACATCTCATATGTATCAATCAAAAAGAATCCGCTGTGTTAATGTACGCACACGCACATGATTCTTTACAGGTGTCACCTGTTTCTGGAACCAGTGATGCTGCTGGCCCTTGAGCAGGGGAGGGAGGGTGGGAAGGAAGGGAGACACGTAATCCGCAAATAAGTGACATCCGGAGGGCCTCGGAGGAGACAATGGTGACTGGAGATTATGAGTTGGAGTGGCGTCAACCCCGGAAGCGGGGTCAAGGAATCACAAACAGAAACAAAACAATAGTAGCGGGTCTTCTGCCAGGGAGAGGTGGGAGAGAACCATCCCAAGAATGACTGTGAAACTTTTGCGTGAAATAAAAAGAAGGAGTAGACCGAGGACAGCACTAGATGAAGGCAACGCCGCAGCCCACAGACGCAACAGGAGCAGAGAATGCTGATAACCGGGCCCATGTGAGCCGAGGATCTATTTCCACCGTGTGCTGACGGATTAGGAGACCCGGGCACAGGGGCAGGAGAGAAATCCAGAGACAAACTGGAGAGCTGCACTCAGGAAGACAAAGGCAAAGAGATAAAGAGTTTCCATTTCAAAGCTTCCTTCGTCCCCAGCATTTTTCTGAAGCAGAGTTGGAAAAGAAAGCAAAATAACTGCAAACCAATATGATGACAGGGCTTGCCGGCACTAAGCTAATGATGACGCCAGGTCCTCAGCCCGCCCCAGTCCGGGGTCACCTGGCTCCTGCACACCCAGAAGCTGCTATGCACGTCCCAGACATGCCAGTCTTGCCGGGGGCATGGCAACACCCAGGGACATGCACACCTTTAGGGTGTCCCTGGGGCCATGCTCAGGGGCCACATGCTCAGTCATTTGTGAGCCACACCTCTGCAGAAGGGGCACAGTCTCATCACATTAGTGGCAAAAACTGTTCACCTGGCTTATCTTACAGACTTTTTTTTGAGGCAGGGTCTTGCTCTGTCTCCCAGGCTGGAGTGTAGTGGCATGATCAATAGCTTACTGAAGCCGTGACCGTCTGGGCTCAAGGGATCCTCCTGCCTCAGCCTCCTGAGTAGCTGGGACTATGGGCACCACCATGCTCAGCTAATTTTTTGGGGGGGGCAGGAGGGTGGAGACAGGGTCTCACCACGTTGCCCAGGCTGGTCTTGAACTCCTGGCCTCAAACAATCCTCCCAACTTGGCCTCCCAGAGTGCTAGGATAACAGGTGTGAACCACCACACCTGCTAATCATCATTTTATTTTATTTTTCAGGGGGACACAGGAGTTTATTCAGTCCAAGCACAGACGGGCCGCCCCATGGCGGACGGCGGGCGCCCCCCGACGGGCCGCCGGGGCAGCGGGCACCTGGCCCCTGTCCACCCCGCGGCGCAATACTGAGCTGGAGTCGCTGTTACCAAAATATACATGTCACCATAAAAAACTGCGATGCTGCCCCTCACGTCACAACAGGTATAAAAAATTATAAATATCTACACCTCGCCACACTCCTGATGGGGACTCGGGATCCCGGGGGTGAGACTGGGACGGCCTGCCGCCGGGGTCCCAGCGATGGCGGCAGGTGACAGACACGAGGCTTTGGTCCGAGATCTGCAGGAAACCCTGAAGACAGAGTGGAGTCTGAGCAAAGCGGGCCTCTGGGCGCAGGGTCGCAGGGTCGCATCTGTGGCTGCAGGACAGGGAGGGAGGGACAGCTTAGGGACACGCATACACGGGTCTCGCTACAAAAGTTACTGAAAACTATCTCTTGCATATAAAGGAGATTAGATACTTGGTCACCTGAAGTATTGCTAGGCACGGTGTCTGCGGTAAGTATGATACAAGGCAGGCGGGTGGGCGCCGGCCACGTGATTACTGAGTTGCCAAGCCCCAGCCGGGCACACGACCCCGGGCCTGGCCTCGGCCTGGCTCAGGAGCCACCCGGTGCTGAGACCCGGCGTGCCCGCCGCAGGAAGGCAGGTTTTTAAGGCACAAGAAAGCCGTGGCCGGAGCCCACCCGCGGCCCCGCCTGTGCGGGACACAAAGGCCGGCCTGGGCCTGGCTCAGGTGAACTCCCACTGCCACAGTCACCAAGAGCCTGAGCTGCCACCCGTCACCGCAGGGTTAGCAAGGTGAACTAGATTTAATTTTTTTAAAAACAGGTAAATTGATTCTCTTTAAAAAAATAAAATCTCTGGTCTGTTGAGGTCACTTCAGCTGCTTTTTAAAGTGGTTTTTTTCTGGAATGATGGAAGTTATCGCCAGGGGCCTGGCCGCGGGGCCCTCAACCCTAGATGGTGGACTTGGAAAAGGAGACCCGCAGGTGGTGGTTCTCCCCGAGGTCGTGGTTGTGCAGGTCGATGAGGGCCTGGACCGCCTCCTCCACGGAGCCCATCTGGATCAGCGCCATTTTGCAGTCCTTCTGGAAGAACTTGAACCCCTTGATGACACCCCCGTTGCTGGAGAAGAGGGCCTTGAGATCTTCCTCTGATATGGAGGGCGGGATGTTAGAGAGGTGCAGGGTGGCCGAGGGCAGGAAGATGTTCTGGAAGTTCTTGGAGCTGGGCTTCTTGAAGCGGTGCAGGGGCGAGTTGCCGTAGTCCTTGGTGAGTCCCTGGTCCTCCTGGCCCTCGCGTGGCAGCTGCACGTTCTGGTGCTTGGACAGCGTGACGCAGGTGGCCTTCCCGTGCAGCTTGTGCCCGTTCAGGTGGCTCATGGCCAGCTGGGCCTGGTTCCCGTCCGCCATCTGCACCCGGGCGTTCTCCTTCTTGTTGAACAGAATCTTCACCCACTGCACGTCGCCGTAGACGCCGAAGAGAATAAAGAGGCTTTGGGGTGTGACTCTCTCGGTGTTCAGGTTGCTGACCAGCAGGACGGAGTTGCCCGCCCCCGCCAGGCCCAGGATGGCGATGCGACCCGCGGCTGCGGCCGCCGACGGAATGGCCAGGGGAGCCAGGGCTCCGTGGATGCTGGGAACAGAAAGGCCAAAGGCGGCAGCCATGGTCTGGTCCAGCAAGGGCTGGCTGTCCCCCGAGGGTCGGTCTGGCCGGGTGTAACCACGGCTCTTACCGTTGTTGTACTTGACGTTGAGGCTCGTGAGCTTGGAGAAGTCTATGCACAGCGTGCAGCAGGCATTGTAGATGTTCTGCCCGTCCAGGGACAGCTTGGCGTGCTGTGCGCTCGTGGGGTCCGCATACTGCAGCAGGGCCTGGAACCTGCTGTTCTTGGTGAAGGTGATGATCTTGAGGACCGTGCCAAACTTGGAGAAGATCTGGTGCAGCACGTCCAGGGTCACAGGGTAGAGGAGGTTCTCCACGATGATGCGCAGCACGGGGCTCTGCCCAGCCATCGCCATCCCTGTGTCCATGGCAGCCGCCGAGGCGGCCAAGGCCAGGTTCCCTGACTGCATGGAGTTCACGGCCTGCAGGGTGGCCTGGGCCCGCGCCCGGTTCGGGGAGCTGTCGGTCTTGAGCTTCTTGTGGTTGGAGAACTGCACATAGATGGGCTGGCCATGCAGCACGGGCGTCACCGAGGGGTAGTAGCTGACCATGGTGTTGGCCGCCTCCTCCGTGTTCATCTCGATGAAGGCCTGGTTCTTGCCCTTCAGCATGAGCAGGTTGGTGACCTTCCCGAAGGGCAGCCCCAGGGAGATGACCTCGCCCTCCGTGACGTCGCCCGGGAGCTTGCGGATGTGGATCACCCGCGAGGGCACCCTGGCACTCCTGCTGTCGCCTTTGAACTTCTTGCTGTCATTCCCGTTGACTGCAGAGGCTGAGTTGCTGCTCATGACGAAGGGCCCGTTGGTGATGCAGGAAGAGAAGAGCTCGTCCGATCCCCGCTTTGTTCAACTGCTATGTCTGGGACGATGCCGTCCACGGCGCACAGAGCAGACCCGCGGGGGACGGAGTGGAGGCGCCAGAATCCATCACTTTATTTTTTAACCAAACCTGATGCAGAGTGACTTTAGGGTGTTTCCAAGGATCAAATCCTCTCCCACTGGGGGAAGCCCCTTCCAGAGCAGCTTCTGCAGGACATGGAGCTAGGGGTCCTGAGACCCCCTGGGGACGGCTCCCTCCCCAGTTACTATGGACAGAGGACCTGGGGCAAGTCACTCTCCCGTGCTGCCGTGGCCTCCTTGGTGTTGGACTTGTCGCTGCTCTGCAGGCACAGCAGACCGTGTGTAAACCTGCTTCACACTCTGAAACATGCATGAGCTTACACCCTGGACACAGAACACCGTGGTGACACATGGACAAAGGTGGGGGCATATCCCACATGCCAGCTGTCTCTGTGCCTGGCTTGGGTCCACAGGATATGCAGCAGAACCACCACTATAGCCTCTCCCTATCCTCAACTCAAGGTCCAGCTGCCACTTGAACCACCAAGTGCTAGGAGGTCATGAGGACCTAGAAGGAGGACAAGCCATCTCGGGCAGGCCCAGATAACCCGGGCAGACCCAGACATCTTGGGCAGGTTCAGACACCCTGGACAGGGCCAGACATCTTGGACAGGGTCAGACATCTCAGACAGGCCCAGACACCCTGGACAGAACCAGATACCTAGACAGGCCCAGACACTCCACGCAGGCTCAAATATCTTGGACAGGCTCAGACACCCGGGACAGGCCCAGACTCTCTGGACAGACCCAGACACCTCAGACAGACCCACACTGATACCCTGGACAGGACCAGACACTCCAGATAGGCTCATGCACCCTAGACAAGCCCAGATACCTCAGACAGGTCCAGACACTCTGGATAGGCCCAAACATCCCAGACAGGCCCAAATACTCTGGACAGGCCCAGACACCTCAGACAGACCCAGACAGGCACCTCGGACAGGTCCAGACACTCCAGACATGGCGTAGACATTCCAGACAGGCCCAGACAACCCAGATAGACCCAAACCCTGGTCAGACTCAGCCATCCCAGATAGGCCCAGACACCCAGACAAGCCAAGTCACCCCGGACAAGCCAAGACACTCCAGACAGGCTCAGATATCCCAGACCAGGGCTGGACATCCCAGACACCTCAGACAGACTCAGAAACTCTAGTCAGACCCAGACACCCCAGACAAACCCAGACACCTCAGACAGATGCCTCGGACAGACAAACAGATACCCAGGACAGGCTCAGATACCCAGGACAGGGCCAGAAACCTCAAACAGGCCAAGATACCCCAGATAGGCCCAGATACCCTGGACAGGCTCAGACACTCCTGACAGACACAGACAGTTATCTGGGACAGGCACAGACACCTGGGACAAGCCTAGACATTCCAGACAGGCCTATATACCCCAGACAGGCCCAGACACCACAGACAGGCCAAGATACCCCAATCAGGCCCAGGCACCATGGACAGGCCCAGACACCTCAGACAGACAGACAGTCACCCAGGACAGGCCCAGACACTCCAGACAGGTCCATACATCCCAGACAGGCCCAGAAACCCTGGACAGACTCAGACACTCCAGACAGACCCAGTCAGACAACTTGGACAGATCTAGACATCCTTAAAAGGGCCAGATACTCTGGAAAGGCCCAGACATCCCAGACAGACCCAGACACCCTGGTCAGACCCAGACACCCCAGATAAACCCAGATACCTTGAACAGGCAAAGACAGTCATCCGGAAGAGGCACAGACAGCAAGGATAGGCCCAAACACTCTAAACAGGCTCAGACACTCCAGGCAGGCCCAGACACCCCGGATAGACACAGACAATTACCTGGGACAGGCACAAACACTCGGGATAGGCCCAGACATTCCACACAGGTCCATATACCCCAGACAGGCCCAGATACCATGGACAGGCCCAGACATCCCAGACAGCCCTAGTCAGACAACTTGGACAGACCAAGACACTCAGAAGAGGTCCAGACACCCCGGACAGGTCCAGACACCCAGACAGGGCCAGATACCACAGACAGGCCCAGACATCTCAGACAAGCCCAGACTCCTCAGATAGGCCCAGACACCCAGGACAGACCCAGACACCCCGGACAGGGCCAGACACCCAGACAGGGCCACACATCATGGACAGGGCCAGATACCCCTGACAGGCTCAAACAGATTCTCTGGACAGGCCCAGACACCCAGGACAGGCTCAGACACCCCTGACAGGCCCACACCCAGGACTGGGCTAGACACCCTGCCAGGCCTAGACACCCTGGACAGGCCCAGACACCCCGGATAGGCCTGGATAGTCTTAGAAACCCCAGACAGACCCAGACAGACACCTTGGACAGACCCAGATACCCTGGACAGGGCCAGACACTCCGAACAGGTCTAGACACCCCAGACATGCTCAGATACCCCAGGTAGGCTCAGACATCCCAGATAGGCTCAGGCACCCCAGGCAGACCCAAACATCTTGGACAGACTTAGATACCCTGGACAGACCCAGACACCCTGGACAGGCTCAGACACCTCCAACAGACCCAGACAGAAACCTTGGACAGGTTCAGACATTCTAGATCAGACCCAGACATCCCGGACAGGCCCAGATGCATCAGACAGATCCAGACACCCCGGTCAGACTCAGACACCCAAGACAAATCCAGACACTAGGACAGACACAGTCAGACACCCCAGACAGGCCAAGACACCCTGGACAGGCCCAGACACCCTGGAAAGGCCCAGACTTCCCCAGACAGGCCCAGATGCTCTGGACAGGCCCAGACACCCTGGAAAGGCCCAGACTTCCTCAGACAGGCCCAGATGCTCTAGACAGGCCCAGACAACTCAGACCAGGCCCAGACACTCCAAACAGGCCCAGACATCCTGGACAGGCCCAGACACCCCAGTAGACCCAGACACACCAGATAGGTTCAGACATCCCATATTGACCCAGACACCCCAAACAGGCCCAGACACTCCAGACAGGCTCAGATACCCTGGACAGGTCCAGACACCCCAGACAGACCTATACATCCCAGACTGGCTCATATATTCCAGATAGGCCCAAACACCCCAGACAGTCCCAATCGCCCCAGATAGGCCCAAGCACCCCAAACAGGCCCAGACACCTTGGACAGGTCCAGACACCCAGAGAGAACCAGATACCTCAGACAGGCCTAGATATCCCAGACAGACCCAGACACCCCAAACAAGCCCAGACACCTCATACCTATCTGTCCTCCACACCTGGTCCCCTGCACCCATGGTCCCTCCCCTTGTGTTCTGCATGCCAGGCAGCAGCTTCTGACTCTGTGTGCATGTGTGGCCTTGCTGACCAGACGCTGAGGGAATGACACGCATGCTGGGTCATGTCAGGATGTCAGTCCGGCGCCAGGTACCCAGACAGGGGTGAGACAGAACTGGTTCCAGTCAGGTGGCACCTTCTCTCAGAGCAAAGGCTGTTTCTAGTGAGGAAGGCCCTGGAGGCTGAGGCTGGAGGTCGGCTGTCCTCTTGATGTGCTCTGTACATTTCAGAAAGTGTAGTAAAGTACCAGCTCTCCAAGCAGAGGAGCTGCTACCCACAAGCATATTATGATCACCCTCTTATCCTCCCTTCATCTGTACCTGGAACCACACTGCATCACAGAAGAAAAAGAGTCATAATTAGAAACATGTTGGCCATGTGCGGTGCCTCACACCTGTCATCCCAGGACTTTGGGTGGCCAAGGTGGATGGATTGCTTGAACTCAGGAGTTTGAGACCAGCCTGGGCAACACAAGACCTCGTCTCTACAAAAAAATTTGCAAATTAGCTGGGTGTGGTGGCACACACCTGTATTCTAAGCTACTCAGAAGGCTGAGACAGAAGGATTTCCTGAGCCAAGGAGGTCAAAGCTGTTGTTCCACTGCACTCCAGCATGAGTAACGGAGCAAGACTCTGACTCGAAAAAGAAAAAAAAAGGAAACATTTTAATAATCGGCACCACAGATTTCAACTACTTGGGCAGAATCAGTCACATGGTCAGTGAAACCTGACACTGCGTTTCAGCACACCAAAAGATCAGAACATTAAACTGGAAAGACGTAAGGATGTCAAGAACCACCCGCAGCCTCGACTGGAGGGAGGCAGGGTGAGGGTCACTCTACACCCCCTCATCTCTCTGAAGCCAGCCTCCCTAGGAGAATTGAGTCGATACCACAGACACTTTCCCTAGGAAAATGCACATGAGCACAGGGATGTAAACTCATGCACACTATGTCAAGGGATTCCACTGGCAGGCAGTGGATTCCAGGAGAAGAGCTCAGAGACGATGCATGGAAGGGCAGCCGGGCTCCATCCTGCCCGACTCTGCACTTGCTAGCTGTGCATCTCAGGCATGTTGCTGAACCCGTGTGCCTCGGCCCCTTCAGCTGCAGGATAGGGACCCCAACGCCTGCATTTCCAGGATTGTGGTGAAGCTGAAAATCACACTATAGGACATTGTGCACACATGACCACAGAAAGGGTAGCTGGCTCCGTGGCTGAGGGTTGTCTGTGAGCCCTCAGTGAGCACTGACTGCAGCTGAGGGAGTACAAATAGTATAGCTAACGATCACTATTAACCACAGGACACAGTGTCTACTGGTGAATCAAACAGAGACAAATACACGGCTTGGAGGACCTGAGGTCTAGGGGACCACCTCATCGCTCACTCCAGCTCTGCTGGGATGGTTGTGAGAGGTAGAGGCAGGGGTGAGAATAGCCACTCTCAGGGGCTCTCGGCGATGAGGCCGAAACGAAACATCATTGTTAAGAGCTTGAGCAACAAGAAAGATGCCAAAGACAAGCTGATCTGGGAAAACATGGAGAAAAGGAGATGCCGCAGAATGGATGTCCCAGGGGCTCCTGCACATTGACCACCAATCATGTGGTCCAAACCCCTTCCTCCATCTCCTACAAACAACCTCACTCACCTCCGTGGCATCACGTCAGTTTGCTCTGTTTTGCATCCTTCTCCTTTAAGAAGCCATCGCCTACTCTCT